ACAAAGCAAGAGAAACTGACTGCAAAGCAAGGCATTTTTTATGAGATAGAGCCTGGTGGGGCCTACGATAAGGCACATACCTGATTCCTTTCCTGCCTGCACAAAGCCAGTGCCTTCCGTTGGTGTCTGGACCCCAGGCTGCCTTCCTCTTCTGTCTCTAGTTCCCCACTTCCCTGTCTCTCTCCTGCCTACTCTGATTGTCCTGACCACCCCCAAGAACCTGTCTTATAAAGTGGCCTCCACTTCCCTGACTTCAGATCTTATGGTTGCGTACCCTTTCGGCAGTATGTTATGTGGCCAGCCAGCCCGTGCTGCCTGAAACGCCTTCTCTCTTGGCTTTCAGGCTGTTTTGCATCTTTTCTCCTGTCTTCAGTGGTCCCTCTTCAGTTTCCATTGCCAGTTGCCCTCTCTACCAGCTCTGGCCCTGGACTCTCTAATCTCTTTTTTTTTTTTTTTTTTTTTGAGACAGAGTCTCACTCTGTTTCACTCTGTTGCCTGGGCTGGAGTGCAGTGGCATGATCTTGGCTCACTGCAACCCCTACCTTCTGGGTTCAAGCTATTCTCCTGCCTCAGCCCCCACTAGTAGCTAGGATTACAGGCATACGCCGCCAAGCTCAGTTAATTTTTTGGTCTCCAACGCCTGACCTCGTGTTTAGCCATGTTGGCCAGGCTGGTCTTGAACTCCTGACCTCAGGTGTTCCACCTGCCTCGGCTTCCCAAAGTGCTGGGATTACAGGCGTGAGCCACCACGCTTGGTCTCACTGTGCCTTTTTCTTTAACAGACAGTCTGTTCTTTGTGCTTGCTGTCCTTTCATTCTTCATGGCTGGCCCCTTTTCATACTCACAGCTCTTCCTGTAGGAGGCCATGTTAGCCCACCCTGTTCAAAGCATCCTCTCTCTTAATTGCCTCAGTTTGCAGTTATATACTTGGGTTTCCAGTTTGCCCAGGGCACAATGATTGTCTTTTCCTTGATGATTTTTTTTTTCTGTCACTGAAACTGCCCCCGGGGCTCTAGGCCTCCGAGTCCCTTTAATAGGACTTCTGGTCAGTGCTGGGAGAAATTGGGGCCCTTGCATGCCTCTGTAGTGTTCTGCCAGGTGTGGTTTTTAAAACTCTGTTGGAAAATAAGTTCTCATGGTGTGCTGTGGGTGGGTCAGGCAGATCTCTGAAGCCTCTAGCAGAGCCTTCATGGAAGGGGAACCACTGAAAAGCAGTCAGTGGCTCTTTCCTCGCTTCCTCCCCTTCCTTCTTTCCCTCCTCCCTCGCCGCCTTCATTCCTCCTTGGCTTCTCTCTCCCTCCTTCCCTTCCCTGTAGAGGTTCACCTTTCCACTCACTGGGGTATTCTTGGCTTGTGTGCACAGGAGAGGCACCAGTACTTTTATGTTGCTTAATGTTTGGCGCAAAGAAAACGCCCACAGCCAGGCCACTCTTTCCTGGCTACAGTTCTCAGGGATGTGGAGGCAGGGAGTGCTCGTTAGACTACACATCAGTTTCTGCTCCCCTGTGTAGGGCACCCCTTCTCTCCCTTCTTTGGTTCCTGGTGCCTGAGTGTAGATGGCAGGTCCATTTATCACATGTGAATGGAGCAGGTGCCCTGTGAGGTGCTGCGCCAGGCCCTGAGGCCAGATGAGAAACATGGACATAGTCCTGACCCTCCAGGCCTGCAAAGCCTCGGGAGGAAGCAGGCATGCTAGCTGGGAGGCTGAGAAGTGCGAATGGGCTCTAAATGCACAGGAAAGGAGCAGTCTGGGGAGGCTTCCTGGAATGGGTGAGGTCTGAGCCAAGTCTCCAGATAAGGGCATTCTAGGCAGAGGGAACAGCAAGCACAAAGTGAGGAAGCCAGCAGCACCTCTGAGGTCTGGCCAGTGTGTGTGCAGAGAAGTGATTGGAAGCTGCTGCACTCCAGAAGGTGAGACTGGTGTGAAGAGAGGTGAGGAGGCTGGGTGGGCTGTGCAGGGAGTCTTGACTGTCCCAAAAGATGGGGAGCCACTAAGAGGTAGAAGGCAGAGGCATGGGGTGATTAGGGTTCATAGGTGGGTCATTGGAGGCAGCTTTGAGGACAGATTGAGAGGACAAGCCTGGAGAAGAGTGAAGCGTTAGGAAGAGATGTGCTAAGCGGCCTGGATTATGGTGATGAAATGGACAGAGAGAAGGGGGGTTAAGAATCATTTCTGGCCGGGCGCGGTGGCTCAAGCCTGTAATCCCAGCACTTTGGGAGGCTGAGGCGGGTGGATCACGAGGTCAAGAGATCGAGACTGTCCTGGTCAACATGGTGAAACCCCGTCTCTACTAAAAATACAAAAAATTAGCTGGGCATGGTGGCGCGTGCCTGTAGTCCCAGCTACTCAGGAGTCTGAGGCAGGAGAATTGCCTGAACCAAGGAGGCGGAGGTTGCGGTGAGCCGAAATCGCGCCATTGCACTCCAGCCTGGGAAAAAGAAACATTTCTGAAGCAGATTGGTTTGAGGTTCCTTTGGGATCCCCCAGAGAGTAGTGGCTAGGAATGGAGACAGGGACTGCAGAGAGGACAGGCAAGCCCATCCCCTGTCACTCTCCAGAGGGGCCACGAGGAAAGGAAGAGCTGTGGGTACAGCCTAGTGGGGCATGGCCAGAGCTGCCCACTGTGACCCTCATTCAAGGATGCCCTGCAGGAGTTGCGGAAGGAGGGAGAGTCTGCCCAGATGGCCAGGGAAGCACAGGAGGGGATTGAGGGGTCGGGAGCAGAGCTGCCAGTAGCAGTGAGGGGGCTGCAGGCTGCAGGGCTGAAGGGAGCAGGAGCCAGGCCCCAGAGGCAGGTGCGCTGCAGGCCTCAGCCCTGTCTCTGCTGACCTCCCTCCTCACACTTCCCTACTCTGGTACACTGGACCATTTGCTGTTTTTCCTTTCCTTTTTCTTTTTTGTAGAGACAGGATTGCACTATGTTGCCCAGGCTAGTCTCGAACTCCTGGACTCAAGTGATCCTCCTGCCTCAACCTCCCAAAATGCTGGGATTACAAGCGTGAGCCACCCACTGGCCTGCCTTTTCCTTTTCTTGTCGCATCTCATGTTTCTTGCAGTTTATATTGTCAGAGTGAGCTGTGCCTTGCTCCAGGCTTGGCTGCCTATCTCAGGGAAAGTATAGCTTGCTGGGAGACTAGGAGGAAGGGCCCAGTCCTGCCTGCTGCCCTCAGAAGCCAGCTCTTCTCAAGCATTCGTAGAGGCACAGAGATTTGGTCAAAGATGATAGAGAAAAGGCCTCCTGGGTTCCCCGGCTCCCTCTCCATCTCCCACTCCCTTCCGAGATCAGCCTGGGGCGGGCTCCGGAGGGATGAACCAGCTGCTGTAGCGGCCTTGTGGGAAGGCTGTGCCTCTCAGACCAGCCTGGACCATGGAGCAGCTTTCCTAACCCTGGACTGTTTTCCTCCCTGATTTACCAGAGCAGCCTGGGAGCATCCCGGGCCCCGAGTGTGCCTCCTGCAAAAGAGTGTTTTCTCCCTACTTCAAAAAGGAGCCGGTGTACCAGCTGCCCTGCGGCCACCTCCTGTGCCGACCCTGCCTGGGTGAGAAGCAACACTCCCTGCCCATGATGTGCACCACCTGCCAGCAGCCAGTTGCTAGCCAGGACGTGCTGCGGGTCCACTTCTGAGTGACTGACCTCCACCGGAGGAGACCCATCACTGGAAGGGGCTGAGGGGAACAGGAGCAGGGCACAGCACCCCTGAGGTCTGGCCAGGTCCCAGGCACAGAGCTGTCTGCCCCCTCCTGGGGCTCTCATTCATCACTTCACGGTGTATCATACTGCTTTCACAGTGGTGGCAATAGGGCAACAAAGCCATAGGCCAGAGGGTGGGGTGAAAGTCCTTGTCTCCCCTGCCTCCCTGCCACTCACCCTGCCTGAGCCCAGGGTCTGCTGGAACCAGCCCCACCCTAGACAGGAGCACCCCTACTGAGGGCCCCCCTGCAGTTTATGTGCACCCCCTTCCAGCAGGGCACTGTGGGTGGCTCATCCTAGACTGTGGCTCAGATCTCAGGAGCCTCTGCCTTCAGGGTCATCCAAAAGTGGACCTTGAGGGGTGGGGGTGTCTATAGAGTGCATGACTCAGCCCCCGACTGGCAGCCTTAATAAAGCGATGGTTGACGTCTGCTCTGGGCTTCCTCCTGGTAGAGTGCCCATCTGTGTCGTCACACTCCTGTCACCCACCTGCATCCGCATAAGTAGAACTCACAGGGCAGCTGTATGGAGTCACTGCAACCCATCAGGTTGTCATTTCTGTCAACAGCCTGAAAGGACACAAAGTCGAGTTTTCAGATCTGTCCCCTGCGAGGGGGCTCAGAACCTAGGTTTGCAGGTGGGTGTACATGGGGGGAAGGTGGAGAGCTCCCTTTACCTGTGCCAGCCGTGCTCAGCCAGATCCTCAAACTGCTCCCTGACAGGGAGCACAGCATGTCTGCACATGGCCAGTTTCAGGAAAAAATACTTGTTTACAGGCTGCATTCTTCTTCAGTCCAACATTTAGCTTTATGGAGTCCCAAATAGATCCATATCCCTACAACTTGATACTGTATCAGATTCCAGCCATTAGAAGAACCTCAGTGAGAAAACATACTTGCCTTTCCCTCTTCCCTTCTAAGTAAGTTTGGGAAGGAGCAGCCTGGAGATGCTTTGTAAGGCTGTATTTTACCCTTGAGCTTAGCGCAGGTCCCTGTGAACAGGCCATGGTGCACTGCACATTCCTTTCCTTTAGGCCATCCAGGGCTCTAGACCATACCTAAGACTTTAGAGATCGGGTTTGGGATTAGGTTTTTTTGGAGACAGAGTCTCGCTGTGTTGCCCAGGCTGGAGTGCAGTGGCACGATCTCGGCTCACTGCAACCTCCACCTCCTGGGTTCAGGTGATTTTCCTGCTTAGCCTCTGGAGTAGCTGGAATTACAGGTGTGCGCCACAATGCCCAGCTAATTTTTCGTATTTTTAGTAGAGATGGGGTTTCACCATGATGTTGGCCAGGCTGGTTTCGAACTCCTGACCTCAGGCAGTCCGCCCGCCTCAGCCTTCCAAAGTTCTGGGATTATAGACGTGAACCACTGAGCCTGGCCGCTGCTTTTTTTTTTTTTTTTCCTGAGACCGGGTCGGTCTCTTCCCCATGCTCGAGGGCAGTGGTGTGATCATAACTCAGTGCAGCCTTAAACTCCTGGGCTTAAGGGATCCTCCCACCTCTGCCTACCAGGTAGCAGAAGCTATAGGCATGTCCCCCCCTGCCCAGCTAATTTTTTTATTTTTTATTTTTTGTAGAGGCAAGGTCTTGCTATGTTGTCCAGACTGGACTCACCTGGGCTCAAGTGATCCTCCCAAAGTGCTGGAATTGCAGGCGTGAACCACTGCCTAGCCAAGCCTGCATTTTCTTGAGTTCATAATGTCATTTGTCCACAAAGGTGGCTTCAGAGAGGTGGTCACATGCTTCCCTTTGCTTCCCAATGGCACTGACCTTGATTCAGCCCTCACATGAGACCTGAGGGTCTGCATAGATGCCCTGTGCCACCCTGGCTGGCGAGGCTCCTGTCTGCCCCTGGCTTTCAGTGTCTGTGCCTCTCCAGAATCTTGCCTTGCCCTCCCATGTACTTTTGTTCTTAGAAAAGCCCCAGCACATTAGCCGGTCGTGGTAGTGGGCGCCTCCCAGCTACTTGGGAGGCTGAGGCAGGAGAATCACTTGAACCTGGGAGGCAGAGGTTACAGTGATCCGAGATTGCGCCACTGCACTCCAGCCTGGGTGACATAGCGAGACTGGCTCAAAGAAAAGAAAAAGCCCCAGCAGGTAGCAAAAGCATTTCTTGGTGAGTGTCAGGGGTGGTGATTCCCACCCTCAACCTGTCATGGTCTCAGGGAATAGCCTACTTCTCACTGGCAGCTTGATACCCACAGTGCGCCCTGGCTGCTGGGGCCCATCTCTCCAGGGGAATCCTGTCCACCCAACCCCAGGAGCCTCAGTGTGCAGTCAGTGTCAGCACAGCGCTCCCAGGTGAGGGCTGGGCTGCCTCCCCTTAAGCAGCTGTGCTGGAGGTACTATCCAGACCGCCTGCAGGGCCCTGGGGATGTGCATTTCTAACAGGCTCCGGCCCCCAATACTGCTCTGGTGGAAAACCCAGCCTGGGAGTCCCTGGAATGTCAGGTCCTGTCCTAGGTCCAGGTGGAGCCATGTCCAGGAGTTGCGCTCATTTTTCTTGTTTGAAAAACTTCCCCCAGAAGGAAGTGGTCTTTTCACTACCCTTACCAGAAACATGCTAAGCACCACTGGGCTCTGTTTCTGTCCCCTAGAAAATGAGGATAAAATTTCTCTTGCTGTCACGTGGCTCCGAAGGCAGTTTATTTCTCACTAGAACCTGGACCCAAGCACAGAGCAGCTATCAACACGCAGAGTTGAAATCCACGGAAGGAGAAGACTCAGGGCCCCAGAGCCTTGCTGTGGCCCTGCTGCCCTCCAGAGACCTTCTGCCCCCTCCATGACCAGAGGGTCTGTGGGCACATGTCTCTTCCCCTTCCCGTGACATTGACTCGATGGCCTTCTGAAAGCAAGAGGCCAGGGCCATGGCACCCCTGCAGTTTGGGGGGCAGAGGGGCCCAGGCAGCTTCAGTCTCCAAATCTGTCTTCCCAAGGTGCAAAGGTGGTTTGCCTTGTGGCTCTGGCCTTTGGCCATTCTCTGTCCTCACTCACAGGGGCTTTGGCCCTCTAGTCGCCCTTTCAGCCCCTGAGTAGTTGGAAGAGAGGTTGGTGTCAGAAAAGAAGTAGATGAACCAAATGGCCAGGAAGAGGAATAGCTGCTCAGAGTGTTCCATCTCCCTGCAGCTGGGCTGCCAGGCCCCGGGGCACCTGGGGTGTGGGGCTTAGTAGCTTCCCCCAGCCCCACACCTGCCCTGCCTCCCCCATAGCTCTCCAGCTTGAGGCCTCCCAGCAACTGGGCACTTTTCCATTCCCCAGGAGATGGGCCCTCAGCCGCCTTGGTTGCTGGAAGTAGGTCTGGAGACAAAGAGCCCTGCCCTGGAGGAAGCCGCTTTGCCTGCCTGGCCTCCTGCCTGTGGTATTGTGACATTGTGAGGTGGGAGGGCTGCCATTGTGGACACTGGGGTGGGGAGATGCTTCAGGCTGGTTGCTTCCCAGGGCTCCTGTGGCCTTTGCTGAGCAGGGCCTGGTTCCAGAGCTGCCCCCCAGGCTTCTCCCACTCCCTGCCCAGGGCTGCTGTCATCTCCCCTGGATGCTCAGCATGCTCACACGGTCTTTCCTTCCAGTTCTGGGTTGGAAGAGGGGTGGCTGGGTTGGGAATTAGTCAAAGCTGCACTGTCCAGTAGAGTAGCCACTAGCCGCAGTGGCTATTTAAATAAAAGTAAATGAGATTTGAAACTCGGTTCATTACCCACACCACCCACATTTCAAGTGCTTGATAGTCACATGGGGTTCGTGGTTCCTGGGTTTTGGCCATAATCCAAATGACAGTCCCAAACGCCATAACCCCAAATGTTGAAATCCCTAAAGATCAAAATCCCTAAAGTTTAAAATCCCTTGATGTCTGATTGAATCCCCAAATCATAAATTACAGATTTGAAATTAGGTACAATCAAGACTTCTTCAGTTTGGGCTTTTGGGATTGTGATTTTTAGGATTTCAGACTTTAGGAGTTTTGATCTTTCGGGATTTCAACATTCAGGATTATGGCATTGGGATCCTGTTTTGGGGGTTGTGATCAGCCCAGGTGGGTCCTATGTTGGACAGCACAGATAAAGACCATTTCTACCATTGCCGAAAGTTCTGGACAGTGCTGGGCCAAAATAGAAGCTTGGTCCCCTTCCCTCTTATGAACTGTCACCTGGGAGAGGAGGGAAGCCCCCCTTCATGGGGACAGGAGAGCAGAACAGTAGGGAGCAAAATCAGACAGGCTTGAACTCCACCTGCCTTCCTCCCCCGCTGGGCAGAAGTGGTACACCCAGGCTCCACCTGGCCATAATGCAGTCTCTCCCTTGCAGAGAGGTGCCTGAAATTGCTCTGTCTGTGCCAAGTGGGTGACAGGATCTCCAGAGTGGCACAGGACTGAGGTGAGGACAAAGGAGGAAGCCTTGGGATGGTCAACTGTATTCCATCAGGATTTTCACCAATAACAGGATAATGCTACCCTTAACCCAGTTATCATATGACCACACAAACATGTTGACGTTTTCCCTTACAATATTTTTCTGTAAAGAAAAAATATTTATAGGTATATAGTGCATGGTTCTGTTGTTTGCTATTTCTAACACCATCTCATGGACATTTGCCCTTGTTGTTAGATACTCTTCTTATAAAGCTCATGTGTAGGCCGGGCGTGGTGGCCTACAAATGGGCTTTATAAGAAGAGTATCTACACCTGTAATCCCAGCACTTTGGGATGCCGAGGCAGGCGGATCACCTGAGGTCAGGAGTTCAAGACCTGCCTGGCTAACATGGTGCGGCCCTGTCTCTACTAAAAATACAAAAAACTAGCCGGACGTGGTGGCACACACCTATAATCCCAGCTACTCAGGAGCCTGAGACATGAGAATCGCTTGAACCCAGGAGGCCGAGGTTGCAGTGAGCTGAGATGGTACCACTGCAATCCAGCCTGGGCAACAAGAGCAAAACTCCGTCTCAAATAAATAAATAAATAAATAAATAAAGCTCATTTGTAAGAACAAGCCAAGGTAGCCAAGAAAACCCTGAAAAAGAACAGTTTGGGTTGTGAGTGGGGAGAACTAACCCATGAATACACAGGCAGATGAGCAAAACAGAATGAAAAACCCACAGGCAGGCCCAACTGCACATGGACATTTTTTGTACTGCAAAGGCGGGAATGGGGGAAAACTCTTTCCACAGCGGGTGCTGGAGTCACTGGGCCAATGAAACCATGTAAGAACTAGAGACCAATGGAAAACGAGAGAATTCCTGCGCAACCTGGGAGTGAGGAAAACTGTACTAATTCAAAATCCAGGCTGGGTGCGGTGGCTCACACCTATAATCTCAGCAATTTGGGGGGCCAAGGCAGGTGGATCACCTGAGGGCAGGAGTTCGAGACTAGCCTGGCTAACATGGCAAAACCTCATCTCTACTAAAAATACAAAATTAGCCAGTGTGGTGGTGGGCACCTGTAATCCCAGTTAGGAGGCTGAGGTGGGAGAATTGCTTGAACCCTGGAGGCAGAGGTTGCAGTGAGCCGAGGTCACACCACTGCACTTCAGCCTGGGCGACAGAGGGAGACTCTCTCAAAACAAACCAAAAAACATCTTACATGGAAAAATTCATTAGCAAGTAAAAATAAAAATTACAAGCTGGGAAAATATATTTGGAACCTGTATTAAATGGTTAATATCCATAACATACAGCTTCTAAAAATAACAGATTCACAAAGAAATGCAAATGGCTTTTAAACATACAAACAATGTTCAACCTTGCTCGTAATATGATGAAATAAAGAGGACCATGAAATACCACTTCTTGCTTAGCAGATTGGTAAAAATCTCCAAGTTTTGTCAAAATTTGTAGGCAAGACTGTTGGTTAATGGGCTGTCATACACGATTGGTGAGAAGACTACAATCTTTGGCGGGGAATGTGGCAATATCTGAGCAAGTCATATATGTATGTACCCTTCTGCCCAGGCGTCCTACATCTAGGATTCTAGTCCAAAGATCCCCTGGAATAATATGAAAAGAATTCCAGCCCCAGCAGCAGGCGGCCTGGGCACCCAGAGCTGATCTTTGAGAGGCTGAGGAGCCATGTTGCCCTCCATGGAGGAGCCAGCTGTGTCCAGCCTATGGGCTCAGAAGCAAGGGCTTTACACATGCATGACTTCACACATATTATCAAGGAGATTATGGAGACCTTAGAGGCCATGATGCATGTTAAAAACTTTTGCATTCACCGGGCGTGGTGGCTCATGCCTGTAATCCAAGCACTTTGGGAGGCCGAGGTGGGCGGATCACAAGGTCAGGAGTTTGAGACCAACCTGGCCCATATGGTGAAACCCCATCTCTACTAAAAATACAAAAATTAGCCAGGCATGGTGGTGGGTGCCTGTAGTCCCGGCTACTGGGGAGGCTCAGACAGGAGAATCACTTGAACCCAAGAGGCAGAGGTTGCAATGAGCCAAGATTGCGCCGCTGCACTCCAGCCTGGGCGACAGAGCAAGACTCCCTCTCAAAAACAAAAACCTCTTGCATTCAAAAGTTTTAATAAAAGTTTATATATTGAATACAATGTCCTAAGCATTGCATTAAATGCTGATATGTTAATCCTATTTAATCCCCACAACTTGGCTGGGCATGGTGACTCACACCTGTAATCCCAGCACTTTGGGAGGCCGATGTGGGTGGATCACAAGGTCAAGGGATCAAGACCATCCTGGCCAACATGGCGAAACCCCATCTCTAGTAAAAATACAAAATAGTAGCTAGGCATGGCAGCACATGCTTATGGTCCCAGGTACTTGGGAGGCTGAGGCAGGAGAATCGCTTGAACCCAGGAGGGGAAGCTTGCGGTGAGCTGAGGCCAAGCCACTGCATTCCAGCCTGGGCAACAAGAGCGAGACTGTCTCACAAAACAAAACAAAATAAAGACAAAAAACTCCAACTCTTGGAGTTAAGAGGAAACAGAGACTCAGACCACAAAGAGCCCCTCTGATTGCCTAGCACAACCTACACAAGTCTCTTCACTTGGTTTCAAATCCGTTGTGCAATCCAGAACCAGAGGCACAACGGAGTCTAATTATGGAATAACAACCTCATGACCAGGCTCCAGCACAGCCTTTGAAGTTCAGTATTACACCTCTAGGCACAAAAATAAAAGATGCTCTCCCCATAAAGGCTCAGCAGAGTTAGCCTCATTTAAATACATGAATCTCCTGGTTGAAATGTGAATGGAAAAGTACTCGCGTGCAGTTCCTGGGAGAGGAGGGTGTGGGGAGGAGCAGCACAGACGGCCTCGGGAATGGCTCTATCTGGGACCCAGGGCACTGGGTGCTGGGATCCTGCCGAGGTGCTTCTGCCTCGCTCCAGAGACCCCAGTGTGGGATACGTGTGACCAAAGAAGATCCAGTTTGAAAAAGAAATGAAACTGGGTGTTGGGAAACCTTTTGAGAGTTGGTAACCAAAGGAGGCCTGTGTGGTCCTGGCGAAGTGGGAAGGTGTGAGGGGCAGACAGCGGGGACAGGCCCAGGAAGAGGTCAGGAAGCAGAGGCGCAAGTCAGGAGCAAGGCGGGGCTGGGGCCTACCATGTCCTCTAAACTGCTGGAGAGAACTGGGCTTGAAAAGGGAGGGGACAGGGAATCAGCATGAGGAGACAGAGGCACAGGCTGGCCTCCCCCTCCCACGATTCTTGATACCCTTCCCTTGGGCCCAGGGCCCAGACACTGGCTCTGACTCAGCGGATGAAATGCAACCCCATGGCTCATTAATTAGGAAGCCTGCAATTAGCCTGTCTCAGAAACCAGGAGCCTCCAGAGACAGCCCCTCTCACCTGCCTTCCTCCCTCCCACCCAAAGGATGACATCAGGCTGGGGAGGTCCGGCTCCTGGGACTGAGGAGGGGAAAGGGGAGCGTGAGCAATAGGAGGAATGAGATACGAGGCCCGCGTGTATGCGTGACAGCCTCCGTGAACTGACCTTCAATCATGAGATGATGGAAATGACAAGTGGCCTGAACTTCCGTAAATGTTTCCGCTACTGAAGAAACTCCAGGACAGGCTTGGGTGTGGCCCAGGTGGATCTATAACCCCCGCAAAGCTTCCAGCCCCTGCAACTCAGCGTGAGAGTGAAACCAATTCTGTGGCCAGGATGTGGTTGGCACTGCAGTGTGACTCGGCAGCGCTGCTTAGACGGCTGCTTTCGGCTGCCTCCCTCACAGCTTCCCTGCAGCTGCTTTTCTACCTTTCTCTTCAACTTTGGATTTTTCCACCTTGGAAAACTCTGTTCCAAAGCTTAGTCTCCTTTCCTCTCAGCTTCGTGTCACTGTGATTATTTTAAATTATTGGCTGCCAATTATTTGGCCCACTTTCTTTTTTTTTTTTAAAGACGGGGTTTCACCATGTTGGTCGGGCTGGTCTTGAACCCCCAACCTCAGGTGATCTGCCCGCCTTGACCTCCAAAATGCTTGGATTACAGGCGTGAGCCACCGCACCCGGCCCATTTGGCCCACTTTCCCAGCCAAAAGTGGGCTCTGTTCTTTCTCTTGACCTTGGACGGGGGTGTGGCTGCTTCAACCTATATAGCATGGCAACACTGACCTTCTGTGATTTCAGAGACTGTCATAAAATGCCGTGTCACTCTGCCCGTGTTTTCTGGAGAGTCACTCTTCATCGAAGCCCTGAGCTGCAATTCAATGGCTTCAAGAGCGAATCCAGGCTGGGCCCGATGGCTCATGCCTGAAATCCCATCACTTTGGGAGGCTGAGACGGACAAATCACCTGATGTCGGGAGTTTGAGACCAGCCTGGCCAGTATGTTGAAACCCGTCTCTACTAAAAATACAAAAATTAGCTGGACGAGGTGGCGGGTGCCTGTAATCCCAGCTACTCGGGAGGCTGAGGCAGGAGAATCGCTTGAACCTGGGAGGCAGAAGTTACAGTGAGCCGAGATCATGCCATTGCACTCCAGCCTGGGCAACACAGCAAAACCCTGTCTCAAAAAAAAAAAAAAAAAAAGGTGATCACAACTTCCAGGAAAGCAGGCAGTCCAGGCAACAGTCCCAACTGAACTGAGCTTTTGGGTCATTCCCGCCCAAGTGCCCACGCATGTGAGTGAAGAAGGCCCACAGGATTTCAGCTCGTAGCCCTCTCCTTCTTACTGTGGAGGCCCCAGACACGGTGGAAGAGATTAAAGATGTTCACTGACCTTCAGAACCTGGGCGCGTAAAAAAATGGCGATGGGTCGGTGCCACTGCATTTTGAGTGGTTTGTTACACAGCAACAGTAATGGAAACAACCACAAAATCCTGGACGATTGCTGCAGCGGGGCTAGGAAGGACAGAGAAACCAGGCAGCAAAGCCAGAATCCCCCTTAGCCGAGAGTGACTGCAAATGCCTGTGTGCTGACAATTGGTACGCTTCACTGCTGCCGGGCCGGGCAGGCAGACAGAGGAAAGCCAGGCTGGCCGGGGCTTGCCTACAAAGCCGCTCAGCTAGTCATTTACCGAAGACCCAGGTGGGGTCCATGGTGCGTCTAGGGGACATAGTGACCACAAGGACCACTCTCTAGTGGG